GTGTGCCCAGGCACACAGCTATTTTTTTTTCCCCAGTTTGAAACTGTATCCAGAAATCCCATGCAATTAAAATGTCTTTATTTGCCATTCTTTTTTTTAATGCCATCCCCAATACCAAGATTTTAATTCACTCTTTAGTTTCCAGGAGGAAAGAAAGAACAAAGCAGTGCACTCGAAGGAGATAGAATGAGGAAGGGGTGACTTTGAATGAACCAGAAGCAGAAGAGCTGTGGTTGTGGCTGCTTTAAAAGCAGCTGTAGCTGTTCATGGCTTTCTTCATGTGACAGGATCAAATCCTGCCCATCATATTCACAGGTTCAGCCTCACAGCTTCACAGTGGCACCCAAGGCAAGCAAGGTTTTGGCTTAAAAATCAGTGTGAAACTGCAGCTTATTGATCTGCACAGAGTTTGACATTGAATATACACCTAGCTATTTTACAGCATACATTCCTGTTGCAACTGGGAAAGAAGACAAGGGGAAAAAGGTCATTAGAATCAAGCAATAGTGTTTAGGTGCTACTGTTTCATCCTTAGCAGGGAAGGAGCAGCCACATAAGTGAATTAGGGCCCAAATGAGAATGAAGGAATGGGCCTCTCTTTGTCTGCGCTTGTGCTGTTCTTCTCTTTCTGCTGTTTTGAGAAGATGTCAGAATAGATCCTGGGGTCTGCCTCAGAAAAAAAAAAATGCTGCGACAGATGAAGGGCAAGAGCTTGGCCAGTCCCGGTCTACTACAACAGTCAGGGATGTAGCTTTTGCCATGGATTTCAACGTCAGTATCCTCATGCTGAAAATTACATTTGGGCTTAAGAGTTTTGCTGAATAATAAGAGACACTTAGATTCGTAGGACCTCTCTGCTGAAGTTATCATTAATAGTGTCCACTGGACTAGGGATATATTCAGAGGGAATGAAACAGAGTCCACCAAGTGATTTCTCAAAAGATGCAGAGGTGTTGATAGATAAATTAACTCTGGTCACTGGTGAGGACTGTACAGGTGGGTTTGGATTTGATGTGATGTTCCCAGAGGCCCCAGACCTGATAAGACATTTCGTCTGTGTCCTGCTTGATAATAATAATAATCTGTGGATTTATTAAGATTTGAAAGAAAGATAGGGAGTCCCTGAAGGTTTTAGGCATTACTGTCAAAAATTGACATTCAGTTCCCGCTCAAATAGCAAAATTGTTGCTATTCAGATTTGGGGTAAGTATTTATGGAAGATGTAACTGAAAATTTGACCCAATATAAATGTGGTGTACTTTCTGTGGGAAAGGGGAAAAAACCCATTCTGGGTCATGTCTCATCACAGAGGGGGCTTAGAAATTGGGGTGTCTGTTTCAAAGCCTCCCTCTCTGTACCTGATTTAGGAGAGGAAAGCTGTGGAGGAATCTTAGCAGCAACAACAGCATTTGCAGACCAGGAGAGAGGACTTTTAAGAAAACTAAAACAAGATCAGTGCTGTTCAAAGCAGCCATGGGGAATAAGAAATATGCTTCACATATAATGAATAAAACCCAAAAACCACTAGCGAATTATTAGAAAGATAAAAGGCAGTAGAGTAAGAAAGAAGGGTCAGTGAAACTAGCTGTGGCTAAAAAACAAGTGATAAAATACCGGCGAAAGTGTATGAACATTTACTGTAATCAAGGTCAGACCCAAAATTTTCACACCTCTTCAGTTTAGCAGCCCAAGTTTTAAGTTTCTCTTCTCCAAACTGGGATCCAAGTACAACTGGGTGTCTGAGGAGAAGCTGGTACCAAGCAGGGGTGAGTGCGAAAACTGAGTTTTCCAAGTCATCCCAGGAGCTGAGCTGTCCAAGTGAGGGTAGTTTGGGCCATAACCTGGGGGCTGCAAACCAAACAGGCCAATTACAGAAATTCCAGGTCAGAAATAAAGGTGTCCTGGACTTACCGAAGTGTTAGGATTGGGCTGCTGTGGAGAAAGGGAGTTTCTCCCTCTTTTTAAGGATTTTTTTTAGAGTCTTTAAACTTGCCTGTGTCCTAGTTTAGGCATCACATCCTTCTTTGGGTCTTAATCTGTCTATACGTCACAAGGTACTGAGGAAAGTACTGATAAATTTGCTGACAATCATTTTATTTTTAAGACACTGGAAATGCATTTAAAAATGAATGCAATTGATTGGTCCCCAAGATAACTCTTCAAAGACAGAAAGGGGCAGAGGTAGCAGCTGTATTTTGAGAAATGCTTCTTGACATTGAGGTAACTTAGACTGCCTGTGTGGGAAGTGAGGAAAGGCACAAACTGAGGATGTCTGGAGAAAATACAGCAGAGGAGTGTGTGGGCAGGAGGCTGGAGCACGGGGAGCTGTGTCTCCCTGGAGCTCCTCTGGGCCTGAGGAGAGAAAACCAGCACTCTTTGAGTAGGAAACCAGCAAAGAGCTTCCTGATGTGTGAGCAAAACCCCAGACAGGGGTCAAAGCTGGTGGAAAGCACTGGAGAGAAGTGGTGGGTGGTGGCTGTTTTCACTGATGGATTAACTCCTGTCTGTGTCTGCAGTGTGCCAGATCTGTTACCTTATGGGCCCTTGATGTCCTCCTCTGTGACCATCGTGGTGGGCAAGGGGACAGACTGCTGAAGCATCGCACTGACAGACACCATCATAAGTAGCTTTGCAATGTCTGCTGTGAAAAATGTGCAGAAGCAGAAAAGAGAGGCAAGGGAAGGACAGCTTTTCTCCAGAACTTCATCCTCAAGGTCTTCATGGGCCAGATTCTGCTCTCAGATACACGAGTGTGAATGCAAACCATTGACACCAACTTGGGTCCTGGAGCAAATGGGAAGCATCTGGGGGAGTAGGGGCTGGGAGGTTCCTCTGGGGGACAGGGTGCTCCCTGACTGTGGAAAACAGTCAGGGTTGAGCTGCCATGTTGGTGGCACTGGGGAGGAAGGTGAGGAGCTTGTTCAGCCCTGGAAGCAGCAAGAAGTCACAGGACTGAAATGAGAAACCAGAGAGAAAGGTACAGGATGCACGGGCACTGTGGGCTGGGCAGAGGGAGATTTCTTTGAAAGCCTTTTCTCCCCAAATATTTCTCCTGGGAGAATGGATTATTCTCAGATTTATTATTCTGTGTTCTGATAAATCTGAGCCCTGGTTTGGCATGGCTGCCGAGAGGAAAGGGGGAGCAGTTCTGCTTTTGGGCTCTGGACAGTTTGGGCTCCTGCTGCACGGACTTTACACAGAAATCTGGAGCAGAATTTGGCCCAGGGAAAGGCTGGAAGAGAAAAAGGTGAGAGGACCAGGTGAGAAGCAGGTTTTCCTCTTCAGAACCCTCTCATTTGATTTCCTGTGTCAGGTTGGTCTCCAGCAATCTTTCTTTTGCTCTGGCACAACCCTGTTATCAGCAGGATTACTGTACATTTATGCCTTCCTAAATGAGAACAGACTTTGCATCTGTTTTTTTGTGTGCTTGCTCTCTTTAACATATATAACCCTGGGGAAATTAAATTGAATCCAAACCAGCTTCCTTCCTGCTTACATCTCTCCTCCAGGAGAGAGCCCGCACTGCAAGATACCAACACATTTGCTCAGTCAGGAAGGTGGTTCTGCTGAATTTCAGGATAAGAAAAATTTGCATCATCATTTCATATGGAGTATATTCTGCGGGGAGGCAGTTGGCTGTGAAGCTGCGGAACACCCAGCTGAGCAAGTTCAAGTGGATTTGCTT